AATCCTAATATTTTCATTTTTTCCTTCGTATTAAGCTAATTTATTATTTTGAATCTCATTATTTTGTGAATACGTGCTCAGGTTCAACAAGACTAACAAAAAAGGCACTGTTATGGTGCTACCACAATCACCCAAAAGTCATGCCCATAGCAAATAGCCATGCATTATGCTTGAAATAATATAATACAACATTATGACAAATACATGAATAGATTATTATTTTTTCATTTTTGTTGGTGGTGGCGGGGGTGCTGATGTGGTGGATTGTCTGGATATAGTTACATACCTTAAAAACATTGGGAAGCTGACCATAAAATAAATTGCATAAAACAAGGATCCAACTTTATACATGGAAGCCCGGTCCACAAACTCGTAATAGGGAAACTGCACAAGACCAAAACAAAAGATAAATCTTAACAGCCTTATATTATGCAAGCCACTTGGTGAAATTGTTTCAGAGTTAACACGAACATATTATTGATAATGATACTTGGATATGAAGAATTCTTTTTTCTCACAATATCTTCATTACTTACGTTGGAAATAGCTAAGGTCTCAAGATATGCTATAAAATATGAAAAAGCTAGAATCCAGGCGCCCTTAAAAAGCCATTGTGTCTTCTCTGGCAAGTGATCAATAGAATGTTGAAGCCTACGAAGTGTCATATTTGATGAAACATGGTAAAACAAAAAGCACACGTGCGTGAGAAGGAAAGTTGTGTGTGGTACCTGCAAAAGTTAACTTTATAGTCACATTAAAAGGAAAATGAAATAGAACAAATGAGTGGAAACACATAAAATACAGTGTTTTGACTTACATTGTTCATCTTCCATGAGGGAAAGGTGTAAGAAGCGCCCAAGACGGTGAAAAAATAGTGGGTCCAAAAGTAATTTCCAACATAACTGAAAACTATGATCCAGAGATTAGCCTGCCAGAACATCAATTTTGTAGTCAAAGTAGATGCAAAACACTGCGAATGACAATTAATTTTGAAGCAAAATCAAAATGCTTCCTCCTATAAAAAATTAGGACTTTCATCGTTTATCCATTATTACATGGTGTAAAGTCTATAAAAGACAAAGACAGAGTTTGTTCAAAATATGACCAGAAACGAAAAAAATTGGTTTTCTTTTGCCATAAGAACCTGAAAACACTTCACCTAATTGTATGCAGATATGAAGACAGATTTTGGAACTGAGTTCTACAACAGTGTTTTGGTCTAATTTAAAATTTGGCTCAATATTTGAGTTCACATGTCTGTGGGCATGTTTGGCAGCAAAATCAGCATGGCCTTTTGGAAGCAAAGAAGCTTTACAGATGAGCGATTGAGATTTATTGTGTATGAGTGCATACCTTTACCCAATAACGATCCTTCCAACAAATGCTGCTATCAGCCTGCAAATTAAAATAAGAAAAAAATTATATTCTACGGAAAATGACCTTTTATTATACAATGAATGCATTATCATAAAGAATCCTGTTAAATTTCAGATTAAATTGAGGCTTGACAGCTTGGATTCACTTCTGGAAATGAAATATAAATAAATTGGAAAGAAACATTGAGTAATCCACCTTTCCAACCAGAACCATTGGTACAATAAC